TATTCCTGCTGTGGTACTTCACTACATCCAGTTCCCTTCTCTCTTCACCTGTATCCATGAACCTCTCACTGCTGCAAAGTCAGGACAGCTTTCTCAGCCTTTCCCTGTAAGAGATGTGGCCAGTGTGCACTTTCCATTTGCGTGCTGATCCGTCAGTTGTTAATCACTGCATTTCATTTGATTAGCCAGCTGCCCAACCAAATGAGGGCTAACAGTTTTCCTGGTCAGTACCATAATGTGAGCAGGCGATGCCCGAGGACCAGCTGCAGCCAACATCACCTCTCCCACCACACCAACTAAGCAAGCAAGAGCTTCTGCTTGGACATGGCTGTCTGCATCTCTGCACGCAGTGGTACCATGCATCTCCACAATGCTTGCTTTTAAGTGCTATTGTGATACGTGCAATGAATCCAGGACACCATTCAGATTAATAAGTTTCCATTTCTGCAATGTGATCACTGACAGGGTGAAAATACCTGTTCTTCAGACTTAATACTGAATACTGCTATGACCTCTAGTGTAAAAAATGAAGAAAAAAACACACAAAAACCCACAAGGATGAGTTAAACAAATGCTGTCAGATTGGAAAGAGCAGCAGGAATACTGGCATGACCAGGAGCCACCCAATCAAGCTGTTTCAACTAGGCATTTGCTAATGAAGCTCTGTTAAATGCTTGTATAAGTTAATAACCAATTCTTCAAGTTCCAGCTTGAGAAAATACCCACCTGTATTTTATTAAGGTTATAAACAGTAAATCAGATGTGAAGAACAGCTGAAAATAAAGGAGAGCCAAATAGGCATTCCTTTGCAACAAACTTTATGATATCTAAGTACTAACTTCAGTCAGTCTACAGCGAGGCACACTGACAGAATGTCTTCCTCAAGGCTGTTAAGAAAAACACAGTAGGTATTGCTGCGTAATTTTCACTGCGAAAATTATTGTTACGAGACTGCTGATGAAAATGAAAGCATTTTGAAGTTTGTAAGATTCAAATTCTCAACTTAAACTCAGCCTGAAAAGTTCCTCAGGAGGTGCATCCTCCCACTGAATTTAGTTTGTAATGGACTTTAAGCCAGTACGAATGCAAGCAGCTTTTTGACTTCAAATATATGACATCCTCTGCCTTTCTTGTGATTGCAAAATTCAGCTGTGTCCGTAGATCTGATAGGACACCACAGATCTTTTCTCTCCAGAGATAGCTGTCTTTCCTCTACACAAGCTCAATTCTTGAAATTATTTTGCTTCATTAAATTAGATTTCTATTGATGTCCTTTCTTTTTATTGCTGCTGACAGTCGTTCTCACCTATGCTTAATGCTCTTTGTTTTAAAATTTTCTACTCCTTCAAACAGATGAAGTGATCATCTGAACGCTTTCTTTGTATTTATATACACACACCACCCCTTCTGATAAACAGATAATCCTGGTAACACTGTGTGTTAAGTGGCACATTTTATTTCCTTTCCATATTAAAAATAAGAGCTTCCTGCATGCTCCCTGCTCAAATTACATGGATTTTCTTTAAGATTAGGGCATACATTGTAACAGCAGCATATAATTTTCCTGCACAATAATTTTTTTTCCAGTTGAAAGGTATCCTATAATATCATCAGCATCAACAGGAACAGACACCTGATTCTCAGCGAGACAAAGCTTCTATGTTTGGTGACTTTATTCTCTGTAAAATCAGCTTTCAGATGCAGAGCAGCTACAGAAAAACTTGCAAACAATCTGGCAACCCATTCTTTGACCACAAAACGCTGGGCCAACCAGCAAGATTCTGTAATCTCTCCTTCTTTGTCACTCTGATTTTATCTTCTGCTAGTTTTGTACATGCTCAGAAAAGGGACGTGGGCATTGTCTCTCCTAAAAACATTTACCCTTTTATGATTTTTTCTTGTTAAAACTACAATATGTATAATTACAGATAAGAATGTCATACACATATAGCATCTCAAAAACGTCAGTATATTCTGAAGATAAAAGATGAAGATTTTTATCTTTAAACGTAATAATTCTCAAAATCTGTTTTGATTCATTCCAGAACACGAAATCTTTGATGCTTCAAAAAGCCTCTTGAAATGAATGTAAGGCAGCCAATTATAGACTCATGGCACTGAGCTGTGCTGGTTACAAAATACACATTTCTAATTGGATATTTTTTCAAAGTCACTGGCTGAAGCTTTGTGCTAGAGAAGACAATGAAGTACAAGCCAGCATACATTTAAGTTCCATTCCTTAAAAAAGCCTGATGATCAAATTGCTAGTGGCATGCATGTCTTATGCTCAAAAGTCTGCCATTCCTGGCTGCTATTAATTAAAGAGTAAGAAGCTTTAAGATGGTGCAGGTGCCAGGCAAATGAGCATGCAAAAATTTTACAACATTTTAAGTTTCATGGTTGCAAGGATATTGTGTAAATATGAACTTCTACTTAAATGTTTAGATGGTAAGAAGAAATAATGTAATAACAACAACAAAATCACTATGTTTAGGTCAAACCTGTGTTGTTTTGTGCATCCAATTAATACTCTCCTTATACACAGAACAGACATCATATGGAGTTTGCAGTGAAATAATTTGCTTAAATATTCATGGGGACTTGGCCAAATGAAGCAAGTTAGTACGGCAAACGAAAAGATGGCAGAATGGTAAGTAAATGTGCTCACTGAAGAAGGGTGCATTTGCATGGTTTCATTTTTTATGATTCATTAACCATTTCCATCATCAACCCTTTGGAATTGGTAAAAACAAGTTACATTTTACAAATTAATCACTTTAAAGAGAATTTCCCTTTCAAAATAGTTCTTGCAAGCTGTAATTCAACATTTTTTACTTGCCTACTACTTTGTATTGTTATAGTCAGTCCTGAGGTATCACTGCAAATATAGTTATCTTTTAGATGACATATGGCAAGATCTCCAATTCTTTGCAGCTTTGGAAGTTTACATCCGCCTGTTCATTCGGGATGCTAAGTATACAGTGTGTTGACAAACAGACAAAACAGCAGATGGCAAAAAACAAACATTCAACATGAAACACTGAAGATCATCTGAAGAAATTGTAGACATTTGCCATTTTCATTTTAACAGCAGAATTATGTTTAAAAATAAATTCCAACATTTATTATGCTTGATGCTAATGAACATCTGTGATCAGAATATTCTCCACAAGAGAAGTCATATTAATTGCAATTTGCATACGAGATGTTAGTTGCTTTATAGACTTCTTGATTTTAAGATAGCTGGCGCTGACCACACGCATTTGTCAAGAGATCTTTAAACAGACATTACATGGCAGTGCTCACCATTCATCCTAGCTTTCTAAGGTGGAGTGGCTCTGCTAATTCTCTACCACCACCATATCCAAAAACACCTCAAACACCTGCGCATAGACTCATCCTCCGCCTCCAGCAATGCTCCTACTATGTACAGTAGCAGCTTCAGAAAACCATAAATTAACATTCTGTGACTTAGAGGTGTACGACCACTAAGATCTTTTAAGTACAAGCCTTCTTTGGGGAGCAAGGGAATTACTTCACGTGAACAGGACGCAGCAGGTAAGATGAGAGGTTGCAGTGAAAAAGCTAAGTCACAGCTTGAAGCAGTGATTGAGCAGCTGGTGCGAA